ACACTGGGGAGGGACCGAGGGGGACAGACCACGGGGCTGAGCAGAGAGGGATCTGAGGCACTCCCTGGAGTACTAGGATCGTCTTTCTCTTTGTCCCAGCCCTGACTTGGAAGCCAGATGTCTACATCCCAGATACCTTAGAGCCTGGGCAGCCAGTGACAGTGATCTGTGTGTTTAACTGGGCCTATGAGGGGTGTCCATCTCCGGCTTTCTCCTGGACGGGGGCTGTCCTCTCCTTCCAAGAAACCAAACCAACGACCTCTTACTTCTCTGTGCTCAGCATCACACCAAGCCCCCAGGACCATGACACCAACCTCACCTGTCAGGTGGACTTCTCCAGAAAGGGTGTGAGCACACACAGGACCGTCCAAGTTAGTGTAGCCTGTAAGTATGGGACTCTGGGGTGTGCAGACAAGCTCGGTAGACGGGGAGGTTGAAGAACCCAGCCTGGGCACTGAATGGCTCCATTCTCAAGAAGGTCCATGGAGAGAAAGCTGTGGCATCCCTGGACACTGCCTCAGCCCTGGGAGGTGTATGGGAATGGCATCGGTCCTCTGACCCCATGAGTGTGAGATCTGGCTGGTTTGTCACTTGTCTTCTGTGGGACAGTCACACTTTTTACTGATGGAGTTCTTTCTAGCTGTGGGGATGGTCCCTCCCTGAAGCCAGCTCACAATCTTTTTGAAGATGCCCCCAAAGACCTTGTTCTCAACATATCCCATGACAATGCACCAGGTACTGATGGCCTATGAGACGCACGGGTGTCCTGCTGGGTGAGGCTTGGCCAGTCCTCTTTTGGGGGATGAAAAGGTTTCTGTGGGTGAGAGAGATGAGCTCCTGTCTGCAGCCCTTCTCTCTCTCTCTCTCTCTAGCCCTGCAGTTCCAAGGAAATGTCCTATCACTGGAAGCCCAGAAAGGCCAGTTCCTGCGGCTCCTCTGTGCTACTGATGGCCAGCCCCCTGCCACGCTGAGCTGGGTCCTGGACGACAGAGTCCTGTCTTGGTCCAGCCCCTCAGGCCCCAGAACCCTGGGGCTGGAGCTGCCCGGGGTGAAGGCTGGTGACTCAGGGCGCTACGCCTGCCGAGCAGAGAACAGGCTTGGCTTCCAGCACCGCAGCCTGGACCTCTCTGTGCAGTGTGAGTGTGACCAGCAGGGCCTGGTGTGCAGGAGGGGAGACAGGTGAGGGGGCAGGGGCCGGGGGCAGGGTCCCAGAGCTCCGAGGAGGCCTGGAGCCCCAGGCCTAGGCAACCAGGCGTCCTTACCTGTCAAGATCCTTGGGCGGTTTGTGTCTAAGACTCAGCGGGAGTTTTAGTGCCCCTTCCTACCCCACCCAATCCACCATCTCGGTCTCTATGAAAGTTTCCCTTTGCCCAAAGGAAAGCCACTGGGCCCGTCTACAGCCTGTACCTTGCCTCCATTTCAGATCCTCCAGAAAATCTGAAAGTGATGGTTTCCCAAGCAAATAGGACAGGTAAGAAAGGAAACACAGGAACCAGGGCCTCTTAGTGCCAAACTGGGTGCCCAGGTGTCTGGAGTGTCGGCATGCAGGAGGGTCCCTGTGCCCTAACCTGTACATCGATTTTGCCTCTTCCCTTCCCTAGTCCTGGCAAACCTCAGTAATGGCACATCCCTCCCAGTCCTGGAGGGCCAGAACCTACGCCTGGTCTGTGTCACCCGCAGCAATCCCCCAGCCAGGCTGAGCTGGGCCCAGGAAAGACAGACCCTGAGCCCCACCCAGCCCTCAGACCCTGGGGTCCTGGAGCTGCCTCGGATACAAATGGAGCATGAAGGAGAATTCACCTGCCAGGCCCAGAACCCGCTGGGCTCCCAACACGTCTCTCTCAGCCTCTCTGTGCACTGTGAGTGGGGACCCTGAGGGCAGGACAGCTGGGTCCTGGGAATGGGGGCACCTGCTGACCGTTCTTTCTCCCCAAAGACCCCCCACAGCTGCTGGGCCCCTCCTGCTCCTGGGAGGCTGAGGGTCTACACTGCGGCTGCTCCTCCCGAGCCCAGCCACCCCCCCTCCGTGCGCTGGCAGCTTGGGGAGGGGCTGCTGGAGGGGAACAGCAGCAACGCCTCCTTCATGGTCACCTCCAGCTCAGCTGGGCCCTGGGCCAACAGCTCCCTGAGCCTCCACAGGGGGCTCAGCTCTGGCCTCAGGCTCAGCTGCGAGGCCTGGAATGTCCACGGGGCCCAGAGCATCATAGTCCTGCTGCTGCCAGGTTGGGGCTTGTGGGAGGTTGAGGCTTAGGGAGAAAGGAGACTCAATCCTAGAAAAGGTGGAGGCTGGAGGTTGGGGGTAGTGGGGTTGGGTCCTGGACAGGAAGGGGTGGGGGCAGAGTCCTTGTTATTCTGCTGGTGGGGGGACGAAGAATATGAGAGCTTGAGTTCTGTGGGAGGAGAAGGCTGGAGGTTGGGGGTAGTGGGGTTGGGTCCTGGACAGGAAGGGGTGGGGGCAGAGTCCTCATTATTCTGCTGGTGGGGGGACGAAGAATATGAGAGCTTGAGTTCTGTGGGAGGAGAAGGCCTGAGGGTCCTGGGGCTTTGAGGGCCATCATCACTAAACTCCGCTCATCTGCAGGGAAGCCAGAGCCTGGGAAAGGATTAGGTCTGGGGGCTGTTGGGGGAGTTGGCGTCGCTGCTCTGTTCTCTCTCTGTTTCTGCCTCACCTTCTTCAGGTGAGTGTTGTCACTGGGAGGAAGGGCATGTGTAGGCGGTAAGAAGGGGTACAGGTTCTAGGATCTCAGACAGTCCCGGTGGAGGAGTCTGGAGAGTGTAGTGGTCATGAGAATTGGTCTTGGACCAGAGTATTATAGCAGGGCTCTGTCCCCAAACCCTGATCCCAGCCAGCCTTGAAGGGACACTTGTTCTCATAAGGAAATCATCTGGTTGGATGTCTCCCCACCTCCCCAGTCTCAGCCAGCCTTCTAGCTTCTTTTAGGCATGGAGGACAGCAGGCTCACCGCAGGCTCTGAGCCAGCCCGGAGGCTGAGAAGTCCTGGCCTCCTCCGTCAGGATGAAGACTTGCAGGAAGGAAGCCGCCAGGACAGCAGCTGCTGAGAAAGAGGCCCCCTGTGCCCTGAGTCCCATCCCCTGGGTGACTGAGGAGCCCTCTGCTCACTGAGACCCTGGCTGGTGGCCGTGGCCACATTCCTCTGGTTGACACAGAAAATCATCATGCCCCAAATAGGCTTTTGCTCCCAGGTCCCCATCGACACAGTCCCCCAGTCCAGCGACCTGGGAACCTCCTCCCTGCTGCTCTCTATCTACGGTCCCGCAGCTAAGGACCACCCACTCCCATCTCCTCATTTCTCTCTGGACCCCTCACTGCATTTTCCCTCCTTCTCATCTCTCCTGTACACCACATGATGCCAGGCAGACCTCCCCCAGATAATTAGTGTCTACTACAAAGTTCAGGGTCCATAAAACACCCTCACTACTGAAACCTACACCAATTTTGGGACTCCTCAAAGCCACTCTCAGATTGAATAAGTCTCTAGCAAGACTCACAGAACTCACTGAAAGCTGTTATACTCATGGTTATAGTTTATTATGGTAACTAGCTACAGATTGAAATCATCCAAAGGGAAGAGGTGTATGGCCAGAGTCCAGGAGAGACCAGACATGAGCTTCTGGTCGTCTTTCTCCAGTGGAGTCACAGGGACAGCCCTTAATTCTCCCAGCATTGATAGGTGGCAACACACATGGAGTATTGCCAACCACAGATGCTTACTTGACCCTTAGTGTCCAGGGTTTTTATTGAGGGAGTCAGTCACATAGGCCTGGATCACCTGTGTGGCTAACCTTAGTTACTCAGTCTCCAGATCCTCCAGAGGTCGCACCAATGTCATGTGGCCCAAGGCCCCCATCATAAGTCATACTGTTAGCCTAGACTACCAGGCATGGCCTGTGGTTCCCAAGTGAACAAAGGTACATCTGTCAGGCAGAACATTCCACGGACTTAAGTTAGAGATTCTAACCCAGGAGCTGGGTGCAAAATGTCAAAGCTTTCTTTGGGCAAGGTGAACCCTTTACTGCACAGTACGCTTTGTTTCTTGGGCTCATATCACAAGTTCACAATTGTGTTTGAATGCCTGAAACTCTGAAATGCTGAGTGGTCCCTGAGGGCAGTCCATGTCTGAGCAAATCTCTGCCCTTTTCATACCATCCCAGTCCTGTGCATTCTGTCACAATTTACACTGAGCAAATCTCTGCCCTTTTCATACCATCCCAGTCCTGTGCATTCTGTCACAATTTACAATTAGAAAGTATCTTAATTAACTATAACATTAATGTCAGCTTCTCCCTCCACACTGCAAGCTGTGTGAGGTCATGGATGGTGTCTGCGTAGTTCCCCACTGATTATCTTGGGGCCAGCACAGGGGAGATGTTCCATAAGCCGGAGGGCACTGGAGTCCCCTGAAGACACCTGGACATGAATCTTGGCCTGACCATTAACTAAATATGTGGTTTTGGGATATTTACATAGCCTGTTTCTCCATCTGATAAATGGGGACAATAGTGTCTCCTCAGTGATTGTTGTGAGGATTTCATCAAACTGGCAATCAGTTACGAAGGGCCAGGCATCATCACTCTCAAATATTTCTTGAATTGGGATATTTACATAGCCTGTTTCTCCATCTGATAAATGGGGACAATAGTGTCTCCTCAGTGGTTGTTGGGAGGATTTCATCAAACTGGCAATCAGTTACGAAGGGCCAGGCATCATCACTCTCAAATATTTCTTGAATGAATGTGTGAATGAATGAATGAATGAATGTGGGTTCAGCCTATGTTTGTAAAATGAATAGATGAAAGACTAAATGCTCAGTTTCCAGGTTTGCTGGTGAATGCTCTTTGCTCTCTTTCAGCCCTCATTATCCTAACCTGACCCGCTTTTCTCTCCTCCATTTAGGGTTTCCGACATAAGTGCTCACCAAACAGCTCCCCAGACCACCTGCCCTCAGCTGCAGCCACTCCCTCCTTGGGGGAGGAGCAGGAGCTCCATTATGTCTCCCTCAGTTTCCTCAGGCCGAGGACCTGGGAGCCTCAGTACCAGGAGGCCACCAGCATCACAGAGTACTCAGAGATCAAGATCCGAAAGTGACAACCCCCCTGGGGGGCCCAGGGCTTCTCTGCAGAGAGAATCAGGGAGGATTCCTCCCTGCCCTCACTGACTAGTCAAACAAACTGGAGTGGCAAACAAACAAAATAGACTTGTTACTAAAAATTCAAGGCCACTAGATTTTTTTTT